TCAGCAGGACTTTGGATATCATGTTCAGATAAGGCACCAGGAAGGCTTGGATCTTCTCCAGTCTTCTGCTGAGAGAATAATAATCAAGACATCACCCTTGGCTGACAAGTGAAATGGAACAGATTGCTATCAGCATAAGAGGCAGCTCCTCTGACAGGTACAGAACTAGATTGATCCCACAGAGATGCAACGTTTCTGGTTAGTAGAAACACTTGAGACATACTTTTCAGGAGAACAGTGACATGAGAAATCACATTATCACATAACTAGTTGGAGTGATAGGTTAGGTGTCTTCTGAGCTTAAGGACTTCACCTTGAACTCCAAAAGGGAGCTGAAGTAGACTGATAGCTATATCCTACTGGGCTCTAAAAAGCTTGTATTGAGACGAGTACGAAATTGCCTCTTTTCTACAATGAGTCTGTGTCAGAAGGAGATTCTCCTGTTTCTGGTTCAGATGTCACAACCAGGGAGAAAACAGGCTGCTGTGAAAAGCTTCTAAATGTTCAAGTGGTAAGATGGAGGAACCCCAGTTCACTTCATAAAGACATGGAGTGGTCAAGATAAGAAAGCTCTCCTGGTCTGCAGGCTTTAGATGTGAAAATTTCCCAAAGGGTCCAGGGAAAGGAGGTGAAAAAAGTTCTAGAAAACAAGAGCAAGTCTCTTGAATGAGTCATTAAAAAGCTTACTTACACCTTGAAGAGCAGAGAGACAACTTGGATATCATTACTGAACACACTAATAGCAGATACCTTTCTGAGCCACCTGCATGTCTCCATGATGGAAGAGTGACTTGCTGTTTGATGCTACATTCAATTCTTGCCTGCCATTTTAGCTTCCCCACTGAAATGAAATGAAAAATAACTCCCAATGTCTGTGCTAGTGTTTGTGACTTCTTCCAGAGCCACTTGCAGTCATTCTGTTCTGGTGACCTACTAGTCTAAGGACAAGGAAGAGAAAATGCAAGCTCTTTTATCCTAGACATGAAGAGTGATAAAGCACATGCTTCCTCTGTAGAAACTGCTGGACAAGAAAGTTCAAGCACGAGAAGTCTGTACACGCCCACAGCAGACTGCACAAGTACTCTTAAGTTTGGCAAGTGGAAGTCTCTGAAATGCAGTGGGAAAGCACTGCTAAACTTGGAATGAAAGTTGCAAATGAATCCACTACAAAATCTATATCCAGCATGCCCAATTGTTGAGTTATTAATGAAAGAGGAAGAATGGAAACAGAGTAAGGGTAATATAAGAAGAGACTGAGGTTTCCATTGGTGTCTCTTATCTAAGGAAATCACTGACCACGTAAGAAAAAATCCCCAAATTTCAATTTAGTGACTTGCCCAGCAGCAAAATCAAAGGCAGGTGGTGAATATAATAGACAATACTGGTCAAACTGTTTCTTTCTGCACAGCACTCAGTAAACAGAGTCGCCACTATTGAGTTCTAACCTCTTGTCATGCAGCAACATTGAGTCAACAATCCGCTCTCATGGCTTAATGCTTTTGATGTTTACTTTGTTCTTTCTACAGTTCAAAAGAAAGCACTAATGCACCAGTCCTCTTACCAAAAACAATCTTAATCCCAGAATCCCGAGCCTTTTGCTGTTGGCCAGTTAAGTCTGTTAAGACGAAAGGATTTGATCAAGCTTTACATAACAACACAGAAGTTAAATCCGGCAAAGAGAGTTCTTTTTATCTGTACTGCTCAGACGGCTAAGAGGGGGGAAAATATGAGAGGGAAGGAAAAAAAGGTAATGAACTTGGCTATGTAAAACAAAATAAGGAATTCAATTATTTCTCTTATTGCCACTTTGTCTTTTCAGCGAGAGTCTTCTAAAGAACTCAGATTTATTCTCCAGTGAAGTCCCTGAATATGAAGGCTGTAACTTTCCCCTAACCGAAAAGAACAGTGGCGCCTTTTTTGCAAATCTGAGAAATGTTTCTTTTTTATTTTTTTCCATCCCTACCGTGTATTTATGAAGACAGAATATAGTTCATTGATTAGACACTTGCCTGGTACTTGGTAGAGCTGGGTTCAACTCTTTGTTTTGCCATTCACGTCCTTTGCGAGCTTAGCCCAACCCACCATGTTTCAGTGTGCTGCAGCTTCCTGTCTCTGAAACTAGTTATCAGTGATGTTGATATTATCTTATGACACACAAATGTATAATCATGCAACATATGTGTGTTACACCACTACATATGTAAAGATTGTGAGGTAGCAAAATAAAGGCAGAACAACTATTTTACAGTGAAAGATTAATATACTTTCCAGAATATTAATTTTTCACACAAAACATTTCTATGCAGAAAAGAGCTGACAGTGGTCACCTTGTACCTAAGCCACACAGAATTCAAGCTGTGCCCTAACAAAGGACACAAATCATGTTTCATCTTCACTTTATGCTAATATCACAATTTTATGCTAGCCCTATCACAACCATCCAAAAATATTATGCCAGTAAAAAGTACAAAGTTATACAAAAAGGGTGAAAGCATCCCACTTTAACACAATGCTTCTAGTATCATCTGTTAATTACAAGAAGATTTTCAACACCCCATTCAAGAGGGAAGTGGCTAACACCGTCCCCAGTATGGAAAGCATAGCCTGGAGATCTGAGAGCCAAAGGGATGATGACCAAGCTTTGGCAATTTGCACGCGTTTGCCTGAGCACTGGGTGGGAACAGTTACCTGCCTCCCAGCTGGAAAGATGCCACAGAACAAAAAAGAACCTCTTCCCCAGTGGCAGCACACAAAAAAGGACCACCTGCTGGTATCTAAACCTTGTCTTCACTACTCAGCTACTTCATCAGAAATGAGACGCATCAGAAGTAATAATGTAAAACTGCTGAAAGACTGAACTTACAGTAGCCTAAAAGGTTTTACACTCTAATAAAAGCAATCCTGCTGCTGACTAGTTTAGAAATATTATATATTGGATATTATGTTTGCTATGCAAGACAATTCTACACAACAAAGTAAGAAATAATTGGAGGCAAGGAAAGGTAGAATGAGACACAGAAAAATGAAATTATTCACCTCGCTGACATTTAATATCCTATGTTAAGTAGATTCTCCTATAATTCTGAAAATTAAAAAGCCACCCTTTATTAGAGTTATGTCCTACTATGAGCAGAAAGGAAAACTGTTGTGAAGTTAAATACTGAAACACTTTTATAAACACTGACGCCATCACGGCAAGTATATCTTGCTTTTGTGTTTAACAGTCTCCTACAAGCACCAGCTGAAATTGTTACAGGCACATATGAGGGAACATTCTTTGTAAACTACAGGCATGATAGAAACATGGGATCCAAGAAACACAGGATATTAACACATTTCACAGGTAAGCAACTGGAAGACGGACATTCTTAACATAGAGAATCTTTCAAGTTCTGTTTAGAGAGAAGTCTCTACCACCAGAAACAAATGCCTGGATTATAAAAGGACAGAAATTTCCAAGTTAAGCTTGACATGGTTCATTGCTCTAAATAAGTTGGGCATATTGTTTCCACTCGCCTATAATATAAATCTAGCACACAGCCCATGCAACCACTTGTTATACTAGAGAGTTTCCCAGAAAGTTTCTGAAGTCTCATTTCCTTGGGTTTTTTAAAAGAATGAGCAACAACATCCTCAAATTAATCTCTTCTGTTCCTCAACCCCCACTTGCCCAACTGAAGTTCAAGGCACCTCAGATGTGTTCTCTAGCATGCGAAATACAGCGTCCATACTCAAGGTCCCCAAAGGCCCTTCCTACCACAATGATTCCATCTCCACTGCAATTAGAGGCCTGATCACAGAGGAAAAGATGAGATGAGCCTGGGAAAGAAGTAGTTATCTGAGGCAATAATGATTCCATTCATATTCAAGAGAAATGTATTGAGTAAGTCTCTGGTCTTTATTAGAAATTAATGCAGGAGTTTCTAAGTCTGGTTTGTGTAACACAGAAGGATGTGCAGTGTATCACAAAACCCAACGCTAACATTTTCAGTGATCACATTTACCACCCTTGCTGGGGACAGTGACATTCACTACTGCTACCGATGCCAAGAGAAATACCTGGAAAAAAGCTGTGAGACCTTGAATTAAAACACTTGGTCCCTATGACACAACTGGGTGACTTTTTTCGATACTAGGACGACAGTGGTAGGAGATACAGAAATAATACCCTACTCCCATCTTAACAGTTTTGCCAGGTAAGCAGCACATCAGTATATCAAGAACTGCACTCTCATATATGCATTCTCACACTGACTTGACTTCCTCCAATATCCTTTAATATTAACCAAGCAATTTTGTTCTTTAAATACCTTCTAGATGAAAGTGTTCATCACCAATAGTGTCTCTGTAGCCTTCCCCAGATAAATCCTGTTAAAAAAAAAAACAAAACAAAACAATGACAAATATACTATATACAAAGTGTTGAGGTGTTAAGAATATGTATTTATTATTGCCAGGCTTAATTTAAAACACTAACAAAAGCACAGAAGTTGTTTTCGAGGAAAGAAGTCAATCACTTTATAGTCAATGCATTTGGTGCTATTTTACAATGCCCTGGACATACTTTAGGACAAAAATTTAATGGAGATGGAAAGATTGTACAGGGGAAAGAATAAAGAAGTGTTCATATTCAAATCCTTTTACAAAGTAGATTAATATTTAGCATTTCAATGTTCTGTCAATCAAGCAAGATAAAAAAATTCCAAATGGAAACGATAAAGGAGAAATAAGCCCTTCACTACCCACAGAGGAATGTTATCACTTGGTTCCACCAACAAACAGAAAACTTTCATATACCAGAGGTCACCCAAGAAAAGCAGATAGCAGACTGAAGAGCTGCCTGATCCTTCAGTCCCAAAATTAATGAAATTTTGTCAGCCCCAGGATGTCTAGAGCAATACAGAAGCAGATGCCATAGATATGCAGATGATCTTATCTCAGACCCAAAAAACATTTTTCTAATGGTGCTGAAGTAGTAATGAAGGGCATCAGTGGGATTTGGAGCTAATCCCCCTTACAAAGACCCTGAAGAGCATCCTTACTCTCTTATGTGCAGCCCCTTCCAGCTCCATCCCCTCACCCCAGCTAAACCATAAGCAACGACAGCTATCCTCATGTTTTGCTTTCTCCCATTCATTCCGAAGGCTCTAACGTCACTGACCTTACATTATAGTCTGGCTCCCTAGATTCTCCACAAACACTCTCTGCCACTGATAAGCAGTCATGGTGATAAAGAAGGATATGGTTCTAAAAAGCTGGTGTGCTGTACTCATGGCCATTTTAACTTCACCTGCAAAAACATACCAGGAACACAGAGCCAGCATTCTCAGCATCAGCCTGTGAACTGGAAGTTGACAGTATGGAGCTTTTTGCACAAGATAAGAATAAGGGAATAACCTGTGAAAATTAATGTCTGGTTGTATTCATTAGCTTTATTGTTAAGCAATTTTATCCTGATAAAGGCAGTTTATCTTTTTCTTGAAAAAGCTGTCAGAGGTTCTTTTCTGCCTTCCACATGCCCAAATGTTATTCTTCGAGATTAGTTATCAGAAAGTAACTAAGCCACAAAAGCATATCTTAGGAATTCTTCAGTATCAATTTCTGCAACAGTATTTTAAAAATTAGATTTCACAAACACTACTGGACAGCTAGCCCAGAGACCCTGAAAATATTGTTCTGTTCACGAGCAGATACCCAGAAATAAAGTTAGAATTCATGGGCCAAATGGCTCTGAGAAATGCTGGCAACCTGGCCCAGAATGCTAGGATTCTGCACGGCACAATGTTGCTATAAAACCTATCATTCTGGATTTAGCTTTCCAGGAAGCAAATCGCAAAAACTATTTTGTTTCCCTGAGTTTTTGTTCCAGTAAAAAAGGTCTCTTTTTTTGAGCATGTGCTGATTAATATCAATCATTACCTTAAAAATTATGAAAGAAATGGACAGTGAACAAAAAGAAGCCATTAAATGTTGGCATAACTTATCATAGTTCTGCAAGAAGATGGCCTTTCCAGGGCCTTGTAAAAGTTAGTATACTTTTGTTTGATCAAGTTCTCCCATGTCATCATTTTCCATGAAGCTCTGAGAGCGCACCTCTGACTGCTCTCGTAGATAATGAGATACATAGAAGTGACTACATAGGCATGTACGGCACCTCTGCTCTCTCCCACAATGCTAAATATTTAATAACTCTTTTGTTTGGGGTTTGGTTTTTTTTTTTTGCTAAACTCAGAATTCCTGCTCCCTCCTGCTCTCTTGGAAAAGAAAGTATTTCATGTTAACCTGATCACCAAATATGCAATGAGCAGGTATGATCTTACTTGTGATGCACCTCCGAGGAGAATACTATCTAGCTGGTAGCCTTCATCTCTTAAAATTTTAGCAAAGCAAGCAGTGCATCTGGGTATCAAATATTGCCTGTTAAAATGATATCATTAATATCATCCTCTACAAAACCCACAAGTCATTAATTTTTATGATTTTTCAAAAGAAGTCACTTTAAAACGAGCATACATTTGTTGTTGTAAAATGCCCCATCAAGTAACTCAATAGAAAAGAGTGGAAGACAGAAGTGTAAAACAGCAGAGTGAAGCATTAATATTCATTAAGCTAGGTTCCTTATTTTCCCACTTTTAATCATTACATGGGTCTTAAGTAAATATGTTTTATATTCTACTCTAGTTTCACTCCTTCTCTAGCTCCTAGTTATTTAAGTAGTAACTCAGTTAAAGCAGATTTCCACTAAGTCTTTCTGCCTTAAACCAAATTATTATAAATTACCAAATTCTAGAAAAGTGGGGTTTATGACGTTGAAGCATAATATAGCTGTTAAATAGCACATAAATTGACAATCCATCCTGAAACTGATGAGAGCATCATCTGAGCATTTTAGTGACACACTTAAGCAGAATTCCTCAGCTCCCATCCAAACGTGTTCCTCTGTATGTGTAAGATTATGACATGTATTATCTTTAGATAGACAGATGTGTATGTGAGAAAGGTGTGGGCAACTCTAAGATTTTACAGGAAAAAATTGAAGGGGGAAAAAAAAACCCCAAAACCCATATCATTCATCTTATTATCGTTACCTATTCTGTCAAAAAAATCTGCAAGAGAGTAACCTGAATATTTTTAGCACCACTGAGACAGATGTCACAACCTGGATAAATACCAAAACGCACCTGCTTGAGAAAACGATTCTGGACACTACACTGTATGTAAACTCACACTCAACAGAAAAGTAAAAAAGCTGAGCAAGCATCAGGGAAAACAATTCTGACCACAGCTCATACTGCATAACGGAGTATTCTCCCAGTAACCTGCACAAATTGCCCTAGCGTGAGTAAAATAGTGCATCTACCCCTAGCGACCCAAATTCAGAAAATGGACTAGAGTGAAAGAAAAGGGTAAATGTGTAAAACATAACTTGCAGCTCAAGAAACTCTAGTGGAGAGCAAACACTATAGCCAGGTAGGAATATTTGACACTGGGGAGAAGTGTGTTCGAGCACAAAGGAAACACAGGCTCAAGGGGATGAAAAGACCAGCAGCAGCTCTGCGTTTGGCCAAGCTCTGCAGGGTGGGCCTCCTCATGCAGCTGCAGGAGCCCGGCCCGGGGCAGGAGCAGTGCCTGAGAGAGCAAAAGCAACAACATTTAGGTCATAGGTAGTTGTACATCACTGTCCTGACACCATGTTTTAAATCACAACACTGCATTTTCAAACTGGAACACTGAGTCATGAAACAACCAAAACCAGATGTACCCTGTGAAATACTATATAAATGAGGTCAGTGAGCACTTGAAAGAATAAAGAAAAGAACATTTACGTAGTAGGATTATACCAGCATGCCATTTCTATAGGTTGCTAAACAGGAACCCATCTAGAGTAAGTGTCTCTACCTCACCAGGAGTTTCCCAGATAAATAAGTTGGCCTCCGTTAGCTACCAACACAAATCGCACAGAATGACTAAGATTTAGGCTCAAATATCTGCTTCGAAACTCTGAACAGCTGGCTGCCTAGCCTGGGTAGAAAGGACCTTGTGTCCCACATATCCCATTCTGATAGATGCTGCTGTACTCGGCTCAGATTTAAGAGGGTGGGGGGTGGAAGGAAGAGTTAATTAGTGCAACTCCCTCAGAAATGCTGCTGAGTATATACATACACGAGGAAGAAAAGCAATCTTTAAAAGCTCCCACACCCCAGGGCTTCTATTCAGCTGGTTACAAGTCAGGCAATCGTCACTCGCTTCCTACCTTTGCTGTGCAATCAGACTTTGATAAATTCTAACTCGCTGACAATTTTATTTTTCTAACCCCAACCTCAGCCCTAAGCACCCTGTGCAGTTTTCCTACTTATACAAGTCTCTGGAGCTTAAAGGCCAGCCACTCACTCTGGGGCTTCCAGCTATTGACTTCCTTTTCATCAGCTATCTGAAAATGCTGCCATCCAAATCCTCACCCATCATTCTGCCTACATCACTTTATTCCTCCGATGCCTTTGCTGGCTCCCTTCCTGCTTCTACATTGAGGTTAAGCTCCTTGTCTTCACCTTCCAGGCTCTACGCAGTTTTATTTGTCTTCACATCTCCTAGCCCTTCCTCCTAGCCCCTATGCTCACGGATTCCTTTAATCTTGGTCATCAGTATGACTCCTTCTACCTGTCCTCGCTCTGCCTTTTCATGCCACTCACTACGACACCCAGTGGCCAACACCTACGAGCCAAAGCTACAGAATGCAAACAGAGCATGTATTTTAGCAACCCCCATTTGGACTAACACAGCATTAAATACAGTTTTGCGTTTGGTGTAAGTAGAGACAGCTACATCCATAGATGTATTAGATATATCAAAGGATAACCTTTGATTTAGGTAGGTTATCATGATAACAAGCACATTTTTAAAGTTTGGACCCCCCTACTCCCCGTATTACATCACAGTCAATATTGTGTTAATTAACATTTTTCTAAAAGGTGTTGCTCTTCTCAAGTAGAAACAAGTTGTTTTACCTCTCCTCCTTCAAACATCTCATTAAAATCCTTTGATTTAGCCTTAAGATACTCGATTTTCCACGTTTGGCAGAAAATATGCACACATTTCCTGTTTTAGTGAAGTTCTTATCAAGGTATCGTACCCACCACTTTCCCCCAGTAAAAGACATGCAAAATGACAAATTGTCAACCAAGAAAACTTTCCTCTCTATTTTTAACCATCTGACTGAAACATGTATTTTTTTCTCTCTTTATTCTCATATTGATGCAATAAAGTTCCAGTACTTTTGGAAAGAGCAAAGTTGAAGAAACGTGTTTCATAACAGGACTGCAAGGGACAAGATATGTGGTAACTCTAACATCTTGTGGGGTAGATTTTAT